AAAGAGATGGTTTGCCTCAACAGGGTCCCAACACTGGGAAAAGACAGTGCTGGCACATGGAGCTCTCACATGGCCCTGAAGGACAGAGTGACAGTGACAGTAGTAGCAGCCAAAGCACGCTGTCTTGGCTCTGGGAAAAGGGGGCCCAGGGAGAGATTTTCCCCTGGCCTCCTTAAGTACCCTGGTTCACCTCCAAGGAAAAGTTTGTACAGTTGGCAAAGCAACCCAAGGAGTGGCTCGTGCAAGGGGTTGGATCCCACCAAGTCCTCGCGAGAAACATGAAAATCTCCACGAGGCACTTCTAGAACTTCCCCTGACTCTCAGTCCAGATGGGAAAGCCCACATCTACCTTCGGGTTGGGAAACCTGCCCAAGGCTCCTGCTAACAAGTGTTTCTCGAGCGTGACTTGTTTGCTGTTGGCAGCAGAGCCCCTGGGAGTGTTCACTCATGAGCAACTTCTATTAACCAGCTTTTTACACTTTGACAACAGAGCTGGGTCCACCCAGCTGGATTTTTTTCCACACTGCTTGCACGTTTCCACCTGCTACGCTATGAAAACTATGAGAAAAATGTCATGTGTTTTCTTATGAGATTTTTCCTTCTGAGAAAACGTGGGAACCAGTCCCATGCTGCCTCAGCCAAGAGGGGAGTGTACGGAGGGTAAGCATGGAGGAGGACACGAGTGGAGGATGGAACAGCGAGCCCTGGGAACCGACCAGAACAGAGAACTGAGGGAAAAGCATCCCAGAGAGGCAGGGCTGCCAATTCCCTTGGGACTAATTTTTCTCTTTATGCTCAATCTAAGCTGATTTCAACAAAAAACAACTCTGAGGATAAAATATCATGAGCTGTTATTGAATAATTCACACGAATTGTTTCTCTATGAAGTATGTAATGGCTGTGTAGCAGCACAACAAGTAATGACAATAAAATTCCCCCTAAGCATGTTATGGAACAGCACCCGACTTGTTCTGCAGAGCCCCCGAGAGTGTCACAGCACACACTCAGCAATGTCATCCAGCTGAGGTACAATACATTTGTGGGTTTTGCTCACCTACCTCTCCAGTCAAACCTCTGCTGACATCTCCCTCACCTCCTGCAGGTGTAGAGCAGACCACAGCAAAAAATCTTCCTTTATTTTCCAAGAACAACCATGGCTGCCAGCCCGACAAGGCACCCCACGGGCAAGGGAAGCAGAAAGCTGAGGCTGGGCTAAAATTGCTTAATAAGCCTGATGGTTCTCACCTGTGCTCAGAGGATATTTTAATGGAAATCAGGTGGGCTGAGTCTGGGCATAGGAGATCAGGTAAGAGAAGGGTTTCTTTCCCCCCACCCCCAAGGCTGGCAACAGTTTGAGACCTCAAAAGATCTTTATTACTATTGTACTCTTCATACTGCAGCCCTGCTCAAGCACATAGAAAGACATGTTCCCTGAGAGCTCACATATAGGAAATGCTTTGATGAATCAAAATTTATATGAAAATAGCATAAAAAAAGGTCCTGAGATAGTTTATCCCTCATTAAGTTGGATGCACTAAAGGAGGGACCACTTGGTCAGACCCATGGTCAGCAGTAAATGGGACAGGAGAAGGAGTTCCAACACTAAGGAGCATCTTCTTCATACAAGTAGAAGGAGGATCAGCTGCCTGGCAAAAGCCGAATAACATCCTGGGAGGATGTTTCCCACCCCAGAGCACACAGAGCTCTGGGGTTATGCTGAAAGGTCAATGAAGAGATTGAGGTTTTCAAAATGATGCATGATTTCCATGGGATTCATCTGCTTTTTGAAGGTCAGCATTCCCAGGTTCTGTTCAGCACAGCACCTGGAGGGTCTGTGTAAAGGTTAACAGGTTATCACAGGGCTCCAGGAAAATCCATGAGGATCAGCAATAGCATGGATGATCCAAGGAACTCAGGCACTGCTAAATCCCTCTCTCACAGGGAAAGGCTACAGATCAGAACATGGAATATCAGCTGACTTAAAATGAATTTATATTTATATATATATATATCTGAAAGATAAATATATACTTACATACATATATATATATACTCATGGACCCTTGGAACCCATTGCCACAATATCACTGATTTTAAAATTTTATCCATATCCAAGGAATCATAGAATATCCTAAGCTGGAAGGGACCCAGAAGGATGATGGAGTCCAGAAAGGAAAGAAAGGATGGATACTTATGGTAGGTGCTTAGTCATCCCACCTAGGGTTTTCTCCACACTTCAAGGAACACATCAAGCTCTGTCCATCCAAAGGCAGAAAGAATTGGGGGATGTCTGGGGATTATCCATGGGGATTATTTCCACTTTTTCCCTGAGGTTGTCAGCTGGAGGCTGTGAGAAGCCAGGTGAGGTGAACCACGACCACTTGATGGTCCCAACCAGATGCCTTTATGGGATGCTCTTGGGCCCAAGCCCATCCTTGGCTCTGACTGCCCACATTTTCCAGCCGCAGAGCCCACCAGATGGTGCTCTCGGTATTAGTTAATGCCGAGTTAATTTGTGCCTTGTCATTCCACTGAGACACTCCAGCACAGGTGGGGTGTGGAGAAACACCACCAAGAGCAACAGATTTCTGTGCTTTCCTAGAGTTCCACGTGGGTGGTGCGGCCTCACCCCAGGCGTGACATGGCCCAAGAACCAGAAACGGGTTTTTGAAGCATCTGGAGGCGATGGTGGGTTACGGGCTCTGCCACACACCTTCCAGCCCTAATACAGTCCTGATTGTTGTGCCTGGGTGTGGAGCTCACTGGAAACCCCCTGATGCACTGTTTCTTGGAGGCCCCCTCCATGGGACCACTCTTTTGAGCTTCTCTGCAGTGGTAACTCACAGCTCTGAGAGCTGGCTGGGACACCCAGAGGACTTTGGTATTTCTGCTTGCTAGATATATTAAATGTGTCCTGTTTTACAGGCAACTTGCAATAACAGGGAGAGGTTGCACAGGGATGTTGAGGGATCTCCAACACAACACACATCCGTGTGCTGTGAGTTCTGATGAACTCTGAAGTCCCTTTCAGCCTTTGTTTCTCCCCAGTTTTCTATGAGAGGAATGCCTGCAGTTCCCGTGCCCTTGGCAGACTACAGTACTCATAATTATAGCAGGTCTGGAGAACTGGGCTAATTGTAGTGTTGATCCTAAGGTTGTTTCCTCAGCCCAGCAGGATGGCCTGTTCTCCTTTCACGCTTCCAGCTTAACAAGGCTCTCTTTAATTTCTCCTTAATAAAACTTGGGGCAAAGGGGAACATTTAATGTGCAGTTAAATAAAAACCAGAAAGGGCACCATACTGACCAACTTCCTAAAAACCGAGTGCCTGTTCTACAGCCATCCACGGGACATCAGCAGTGAAATCAAACCTCGGGCACAGAAGCCTGAAAGCTAAGAAAACCTCAGTGCCTTTTGTTTGTTACCAATAATGTGATTTTATCGCTGAGGAGCCGGAAAAGGGAGAACATTAAAGGTTCCCTACGTGGGGACGCAGGAGCACCACAGCCATTTACGCCCATAATGAGTTTTGCTGCCTCTGAGCAGAGCACAGTTAATAACAGATCATAAAGTGGGTTTACCACCCCAATTGCCAGTCTCTGAAGGTTACTAAAAGCCTGTTCAAATGAGCACAGTCAGATCCGCCTGGCTGGGCTGAATTCACCATTTTCTTTGGGGTTTAGAGGAAACTTCTGTTTCTGCCTTCATTGAAACGGGTGAAAATCAGGAATGGAGCAAACAGAGCCAACCTGATGTTGTCCAAAATCACTTAAATTTGTCTGATGATGCTATTTGTTTGCTCCACCTGGAGCTGTCCCATCAGCTCCTTAACTAATTCTTAAACTTCCCTATTTTATCAAAACTCCTTATAAAGCATCTCTACACTGGACAGGGTTAATCCAGCCCTGGGTGCTGAGGCCATGGCACAGCTTGCCCAGAGAAGCTGTGGCTGCCCCATCCCTGGAAGTGTTCAAGGCCAGGTTGGACGGCGCTCGGACACCCAGCCTGTGCCAGGGCCTCAACATCCTCACAGGGAAGGATTTCTTTCTAATGTCCTACCTAAACCTACCCTAAGGGTGGTGCCCAGAGAAGTACCATTTCTCCTTTTGGAGAAGCCAGCTCCATCTTACACACACACTTTTTCATTTACAGCCAAAAAGAGGGGGGAAAAAGCGCCCCATTTCCATTGTTCATTTGGCGCTTTGATTTCTCTCCATTTTCCTTGCCTTTGTCTGTGTGGGAATGTGCATTTGTGGGAATGACTGATATATTTTAATGTTTTCTGCAGTTGTTTAGTGAGCCCCCTTCTGAAGCCTTATGGACCACCACGGGTTGAGAAACTGGGATGGAAGATCCGCAGAGACAGCCTCGTGCAAATCCAGCGTCATCCCTTTGAAGTCCTCGGGGCTTCTACGGCAGCCAGAAGTAATTAGGGAGAGAAAGGGATTGCGAGAGCCGTGCTGGCTCGGAAGCAGCGCTTCCCGCTGGCTTGGAATAAAGCAGAGCTGAGCCGATGCCGAGCACTGTTGGAATTATGACACCAAATGTCCAACCTATTAATGGAGTCCGCCCAGGGCTCACAGGCAGCAGCAGCTCCTCCACAGCAGCATTCACACTGTCAACCCCCCACTGCAGCAGTGCCAGAACTACACCCCATCCCACCGAGCCGGGTGCCTGCAGCCTCTGATTTCCTTGGAAGTGTCCAAGGTCAGGTTGGACAGGGCTTGGAGCAACCTGGGCTAGTGGAAGTGTCCCTGCCTGTGGCAGGGGGGTGGAACAAGATGGTCTCTAAGGTCCCTTCCAACCCAAACCATTCCGAGATTCTCTGAAGACCAGCACAAGCAAGAATCACCCCGTGACTTTATGCAGCTCTGAGACTTGCAGAGAAAAAAATCAGTACTGAATAATCAAAAGGCTTCTTCTTACCTTACTAAACCTCTCGATCTGCTGAGAGCTCCGTCTGCCACGGGGTGCTGAGCCTCAGTGACCAGGACCGCTTACTCCTCTGGATTCATGCAGTGGCTCCTCCATATGATTTGGGAATTCTGCTTGCCTTTTTCTCCCTTTCTATAAAGCAAAGTGGGTACAGTTAATGGCAGTCCCTGTTGCTTAACTAGCCAGCTCTCCTGTGCCTTCCCCAGTAATGGATGCACCCCCAGTCGGAGATGTCACCTTCCCAAAGATACCACGTGCCTGGGAAAATCCCTCCTCCACTGCTGAACTGTAGATCAGGTCTGTAGGGTGGCTGCAGGAGATTACTCTGGGGATTGGACTAGATGACTTTTAAAGGTCTCTTCCAACCCAAACTATTCTGTAATTACTTTGGGGATATTTCAGAAGAAAAGAGGAAAGGAATTTTAAAATTTCACCCTGGAAAAGGTACTAGTCCTCTTCCTGCTTTTCCCCATTTAGGCATTGTTTTGAGAAGCATGTTCCTCTACCTCTATTTTTCTTCTGCTGTCTTGCTTTTTTTCTCCCCTCTTGCCTTCCCCTCCTCTCCCATTATCTTCTAGCAAAGTTACTATTTTCCACAGCATAGACTGTGGGCATCACCAAAGTCAGACAGCACCTTGGGTGGTTTTTAGTCCAACCTCATACTCAAAACAGGGCCAGATTCAGAGCTGGATCCCAAATTTTCCATGTGGTAATAAACTCTGTATTACAAAGATGAGCACAAATGTGAGACCAAGTTGTGTTTGGGACAAACCATGAAAATTCCCACAGAAATTTTTAACAGTAAGTTCTCATTCAGCCCAATTCGCTGAACCTGTGGGAGAACTTTGATTTTGAAGGTGTCAGACAGGAAAACCTCAGAAAGTTTTATGTTCAAACCCAAAAGCTTCATTTCATCCTTTTCATATAGGTTATTTCACCCTTTCTTTCCATTCTGATGCCTATGATTTGTATGACTTTACCTGCCATTTAGAATAAGTGGTCCACTTGGGTCAGGTCTCTCCCATGTTTCCGACTCAACATTTCACAAGAACTTCCAGTCAGTGTAAAAACTTGGACTTTTCTCCCTGATCTGGAACAAAAGCAAATAGAAAACCATCAGGAAATTTCATTCCATGTGGCAGGAATTTGACTTTCTGGACAGCTTTCATTGCTGTCAAGAAGGGTGGCTGGCTGAGACAGCTCCTCAAAGCTTTGGAAGTATATCCAAAGGCTCGAAGCTGGCAGCACATCCCTCAGTCCTTGCATCCACTGCCAATATTGTGAGGATGGGATTTTTCAGGGTCCCCTCAAAGAACTAAATATACAGTTCCCAAAATGCCTGAGGTCTCTAATTCTGGTAGACTCCCTTTTGAAGAGTCCCAGCCCTTTTTGTTGGTTGTTTTTCATTCTGCTTTAGATAACCAGAGTGGGCCTCTCGCTCATGGAAAGCATTGTTACATGTGTCACCTCCCACCAAGAAAAGCGAAGAAGGGAGGGTAAAAAGCCACGTGAAGATATTAAAACAGGGAACTGGAATGTCTACAAACTGCTGGGAGAGTTCATTCCTAATACACATATCCCTATTTACTGTTGAAAACAGCTATTTAGCTATTTATGGCATTATAAGCAATCACTCTTGGTTTCTGCTCAGCCTCAGATGGATGGTTGGCCCATATATCTCATGCTGTACTTAAGTAGGATAGAAAAAAACAACCAACCAACCAAAACCAACAAAAATAAACAAAGAAACAAAAAAACTAAACAAAAAAACCCCAACAAACAACAACAACAAAAAAAACACCAAAAAAGAAGAGAACAGACCTTTTGGGATGGGCACATCTGGTCCCCATGTGTAAGCCCAGCCTCAGGAAAAGGCTGCTGACAGAGAAAAGCTGCATGTTGTGGTTCTAGACAAGCTTCTTTAGAGGTATGTTATAGATACAGAGGCACAACCATTATAGATATGTGTGTAAATATACACAGAGAGAGAGACTGGGCAAGAAAGAGCTTTCTATATTTTCCTTTCCGAAGCTCAAAGATCCCACCTGGCCAGCTGCAGATCCCTGGGCAGCACTGATTTACTGTGGAGCAGCGATGCTGTTTCCTGTGTGTTGCTGGATGGTGAGAGACTGGGGAGAGGGACTCGGAATATCCCCGAGTTTGGCAGGGAAGGGCCCAGATAGAAAGCAGATCCTAGAATGGTTAGGGTTCGAAGGGACCTTAAAGTCCATCCAGTGCCACCCCCTGCCATGGGCAGGGACACCTTCCACTAGCCCAGGTTGCTCCAAGTCCCATCCAACCTGGCCTTGGACACTTCCAGGGATGGGGCAGCCACAGCTCCTGTAGGCAGCCTGTGCCAGGGCCTCACACCCTCCCACGGAAGGATTTCTTCCCAATGTCTCATCTAAATCTACCCTTCTTCAGCTTGAAGTCATTCCCCCTTGTCCTGTCACTCCAGGGCCTTGTAAACAGTCTCTCTCCATCTTTCAGGTCCTGGAAGGCCACAATTAGGTAACCCTGAAGCCTTCTTTTTCAGGCTGGAAAAAATAACCAATGTGAAATGATGGATACATTTATATGAAGTTTTTTTCCTTATGTGAAATTTCTAACCTGCACACAGAGCTCAGGTCCTGATGATGGGAAAGACACAAAGACTTTGTGATCTAGCCTGTGCTCTGCTGCCCAAAAACCAGAGCTGGTGCTGCTCTCTGACCAGCAAAGTCTGTCCTCCTGCAGGAAGGCGGTGCCTGGAGATGCCTCCCCTTAGTTTGAAACCCACCATCAGCCTTTATGCACCTCCTTCTTTAACTCCAAATCTCTTTAACTAAATTCACTTATTTTGCAGTGACAGAACAAATAATGCTTTCAGGATGTTACAGCTAATCAGCAGGACATCTTTAACCTACTATTAATTTGGACGGCAAGCAAAATGAGTAGGAACAAAACCAGCTTGTCTCCTCACCCCAAACATTGGCCTCCCAAGGAACCAAGGCTCACTTTAGTATTAAGGAGGGAGCAAGCCATGAGCACAACCTGGTGCTTGGCTGAATTAGGGCCAACAGCCTCCTAAGAGTAAATCCTTGTCTGCTGGGACTGAAACACCCTTGGACAGGATACACTGGAACACAGAACAGCCACTTCAAGGAGTATTTTCCTTCGGTGAGATCGTACATCTGTTCATTGCAAGGCCAAAAGGCATCCATATATTTCTGTAAATTGGAATTTTTGTGGCAGTCTGGGGGATAAAGCACTTATTTTTCTTTTGCCTTTCATGTTGGAGGTGGGTGTCTAATGTCCCTGCATCTTTCTGAACCCTGTTCCTTGGGAGACCTGCTGCCTGGCCCCATCCAGAGACCCCTGCAGCAGAGAAAATTAATCCTCCCTGCCATGCAAACACACAGAGCAAATCCCAAAGGACCAGCCCTGAGGCAGTGATAAGGTCTAGAAGAGCACATCCAGCAGAGAGGCAAGTGATCTCAAGTGATGGAGCAGCCTCCAGCCCCCAGGGCAGCTGACTCAGGAGCCAGCTGCACTCACATTTTGAAAACATTTCACCTCATCCCCCAGTTCTCCATGGACCCTGGCTTGGAGAAGGCTCTCAGCCTTCCCCATGGAGGGAGCAGCTTCTATGGATGTCTCGAGTCCTGGGTGCTTGCTGTCCTGTGAGATACTTTTGGTGGGATGGGGATGCCACAGCCCAGCTACTGCCCTTTGGGAGGGCAGAGATCTCAGCAATCTCCTGTTTCCCAATGCCAAAATGGGATGGATGGATGGAAGGATGTGCCAGTTCTTCATGAAGGGACAAACTGGTGTATAGGGAGACTCATGTGGGAAAGAGGCTGGACAGGGAGTAGAGGAGAGATTGGATATTGAAAAATAGTGGAAAAAAAAACAATAATGGAATTGGAATATATTACAAAACACCACCCACTTCCTTCCACAGCCTGTGTCCAGTTCTGGGCCCTCACAAGAAGGATATTGAGGGGTTGGAGCACATCCAGGGAAGGGGACAGAGGTGGGGAAGGGGCTGGAGCAGCAGGAGCAGCTGAGGGAGCTGGGGGGGCTCAGCCTGGAGAAAAGGAGGCTCAGGGGGGACCTTCTGGCTCTGCAACCCCCTGACAGGAGGGGGAAGCCAGGGGGGGTCAGGCTCTGCTCCCAGGGAACAAGGGACAGGAGGAGAGGGAACGGCCTCCAGTTGTGCCAGGGGAGAGTCAGGCAGGATATCAGGAAAAATTTCTCCATGGAAAGGGTGGTCAGGCCTTAGAAGGGGCTGCCCAGGGAGGTGGTGGAGTCCCCATCCTTGGGGGTGTTTAAAATCCATGTGGATGTGGCACTTGGGGATGTGGTTTAGTGGTGGCCTTGGCAGTGCTGGGTGAATGGTTGGACTCAATAGTCTTAGAGGGCTTTTCACACCTAAACAATTCTATTATTTAAATCAGAAACCTTTTTTCCCTGCTTTTTCAAAGGACCTGAAAATGATCCTTCAATAAGACCACGATAAATATCAGAGTCTCAAATATTTTCATTAGAAGCTGCCATTTGTTGTAGAAAAAAGGGGAAAAAAATCCCAGTACATGCTCAAAGCCTATATTTCCCCCTAGCAAACCCCAGAACAGTTTTCAGCATTCCCTGGAAGTTTTACAAGTCAAACCATTTTAGTCTGAAATACCGTATTTCTGCAGCATCTACTCATACTGAACATGCTGCTTAAATAATCCAACCCATACCTTTAAGTGAGCAACACAGAATCAGGGAATCAGTAAGACTGGAAAAGACCTCCAAGATCATCGAGTCCACATGTTATTTTCGGCTTTTTCCAGGGACAGGAGCATGGTAATATAAGGGGATTAAAGCAAATATTTCTCGAGCATTTGCTCTTTTTTATATACTATAGAACACACGGTAAATGACCCGAAAAACCATGTTGTTAAGAAGTTCCATGAGTATTACACTTTCTTTTCTTTAGATCAGACCATAACTCTCGCAGCAGGGGGAAATTTCTGTGGCCAGAAAGGATAATGAAGACCAGGGTTTGACTAAAAGGTCCTCATGCCCTTGGGTGGACGCTGTGGATGCTGCTTGGGAGCGGAGGGCTTTTTACAGAATTCATAAGAAATGGGCTGTCACAGAATCCCAGAATTGTTTGGGTTGGAAGGGACCTTAAAGCTCATCTTGTTCCACCCCCTGCCATGGGCAGGGACACCTTCCACGATCCCATGTTTCTCCAAGGCCTGTCCAACCTGGCCTTGAACAGGGACAGGGCAGGGAGGCTTTGTTCATATGCAAGTTTCTTTGCATTTTCAAAGACAATATAATTTTTCCCACTTTTGTCTCGCAGTAAGTTCGACTTGGCCAAAGGCAGAAGCAACTGGATTATGCAGAAGGTACATAGGAACTGAAAGGATGTCAGGTTTCCAAGCCCATGCTCTATGCTATGTACAAATCTGGGAATCAGCAGTTCACAAGATACAGAAATTCCTGGGGATCATCCAAAAGAAAAAAGCCATTTTCCCATTATAAGTGGACTGAAACCAGAGCTGGAAATCCAACCCTCCTTAAAACCGTGCTGCGGTTTGGATGAGACGCCCTGAGTCTGGATCAGCTGACTCCCATTTGATGCAGAACCCAAAGCAGATCCATTTCATAGCACTGCTTCAGATGTGGCTGAAAAACTCCTGCAAGTGACAGATTTCCCAATGTTTTTCTGCTTGCAAAATGGCTGCAGGTCCTTGTTTGAGCCAAGAAGCACGAGCACTGCTGGCGAAATCTATCAGCTTCAAGTCTAGGACCATTTTGCAATGCAGTCATGAGACTTTCTGAAACCCAATTCCCAACCAGACTACACCACGGCAGTTTTCCATAGCTTTTTGGGAGGCCAGTTCAAGCACACAGTTCTGCACCCTTTTGGAAAGCTGCTTTTGGGGGAGTTTCCTGCGTTCTCTTGGCTCCCCCTCCACTGACTGCTGTGACTGTTCCAGGCTGGTCTGCAAGCTGCAAAACATTCCCATTTGCAGACTGAGCAAGTTTTAATTACTCCCAGAATTTTGCCTGGAAGGGAAGAGCCAGCCATGGAGGCAAACTGAAAGAGTG